AGGCCAGTCTGGTTGGACCAAGAAGTACAAGATGGGGGAAAAAGTAAGTCAGGAAAGGGAGCCTGTAACTGGGTTGTAAAAGGCTTTCAAACATGGGAGTGTTTGATCAAAACAGTAATATAGAGTCTCTGGAATTTATTGAGCCTATGTTTTAGTAATACTATTTTACCAGCTTTGTGGAAGATGGATTGGAAAGGGGAGAGAATTACAGCAATGATACCAATTAGAAGACTACTGAAATAGTCCAAGGGAAAGGTAGTGAGAGTATGAGCTGATTCAGTCAAAGGGCCACACTTGAGGACCTAGAGGGCCACATGTGGCCTCGAGGCCGCAGGTTTCCCACTAGGGTGTTTGGTATATATGAGTGGCGAGAAGAGGGAAGATGTGAAGAGATGTTGCAAAGGTTAAAAACAAAACTCACTACAACTGATTAGATATTTGGGATGAGGGAGAGTGAAGAGTTATGGATGACTTCAAGTTTATGAACTTTAGTGACTAGAAGGCTAGTGGTACCCTCAGTATAAATAGAGATGCTTGGAAGAGGATTAGGTCTGAAGGGAAAATAAACCCAGAGTCCTGGTATGGTCCTGAAATTGACTTGAAAAACAGGTTTTGACCTAAGACCTGCCCTCCAAAACCTCTCCATTTCTCAGGGTCCTTTGAAAGCAAAGCTTTCTTGGGCTTGGGCTATATGAAGTACAATTTCCTGACCTGGGAAGGACTATGAGAGACATGTTCAAGACTCCCTAAAATCATATTCTTTCACACAGGGAAATGGTATCCAACCCAGATGCCCTCACATCTCCATTTCCTCATGTGAGCAGAGGGGTACCAAACTGCCCTTGATAAATTCCAGTCACCAGGGTCAAAGAATCTATATCCTAGAGTACTGGAGCAACTGGACCCATCTTGTCTCTCTGAAAGATTGCGAGGTCTAACAGAGATGTGGCAGGCCTGCAAAAAAGCAGATATCGCCCCATTAAAAATTTTTAAAAAGACAGAGTAGCATGGCAAACTAGAGGCCAATGAGCTTTATTTCAACTGCTGGCAAAATTCTAAAGCATACCATGTGTCTAGTGAACATCTAGAAAATGAAACTTTGTCAAGAACAAGTCATATCAGACTAATTCCATTTCCTTTTTTTGAGAGAGTTACCAGTCTGGTACAGACAGAGATTACCTAGCTTTCAGCAAAGTACCTGACAAAGTTGCTCACACTGTTCTTGTGGAAACGAGACATGTGGACTATATATCAACAGTTAGGTGGATTCAGAATTATTGATTGTCTGTACCCAAAGATTAGTCACTAATGGTTTGATGCCAACTTGTTAGGAGATCCCTAGGGTGGCCCAGGGAATCTGTGGTTGATTTTTTGAGGTTTTGAATTTTTTCAACATCTACTCATTCAAAGCATAGCATGCTCACCAATCTCATAGATGATACAAAGCTATAAGAGCTAGTTAACATGCTGGATGACAGAATCAGGATCCAAAAAGATCTCAACAGGTTAAAATCTTGGGCCAAATCAAGATGAAATTGAATTGAGTCAAATGTAAACTTAATCAGGTTCAAAAAATTAACTTTGCAAATACAAGATGAGGGAGAAACAGCTAGACATTTGAGAAACATCTGGTGTTTTTTTAGAGAACTACAATTTTAATACAAGTCAATAGTGTTGGGGCGGGGGGAAATGAGAGGCACAATGTCTAGAGAATAGGGAAGTAAAACTTCTGCTGTACTCTTCCCTGGTCAGACCACATTCAGAGTATTGTGCTCAATTCTAGGTGACATATTTAGAGAAGACATCAATAACTTGGAGAGTATTCTGAGGAAGGTAACCGTAATGATGAAAGACCTCAAATCATTATATGTCAGGATCAATCCAAAGAATTATGATGTTTGTCTGAAGACGACAAGACTTGGGTGGAGAGAGCAGAATCACTATCTTCAACTACCTGTCAGGTTGTTAGATAGAAGAGCATGAGACTTATTCAGCCTGGCCCCAGAAGCCACAACCAAGAGCATAGGAAACTCTTGGGAAGAGGCAGAATTTTTGAGGCAAAATGTCCTAAAAATTAGACTTATTAAAAAACATAGTGTGGTGCCTCAAAAGATATTGGTTCTCTCTTCCCTTCCTGACCTCTGCTCAGTAATGGACTTTGAATAACGTCTGGTTAATTCCATGTCAGGTACGTGGCAGCAGTATTATTGATATGTGTTGGACTAAATAACTTCCAAGGTCTCTTCCAACCCTGGAATTTTGTGATTCCCTAAGCAGAGGAAAGGGAGAAACTACAATGTAAGGTCTTTGAGAAGGGGGGAACCCTCACTTTTGTATCTGTTACCACCAGTGCCTGGCATATAGTAAACAACAAATAAATGCATGTTGATTGAAGAGACAACATAGCTTAGAAATGCTCTGACAGCAGGACCTCACATTTTTACAATGTTTTCCAGCTACAAAGCACCATCACATACATTATTTCCTATGATCTCAAAGCAAGAGGATGAAATAAATTTATACAAGTGCTGTTCATTATTATCCATATGTTAACATTATTCATAAATTCATTGAAGTATTATTGTCTGTTTGAATGAAGTATTATTCATTATGTTCATCTTATAGATGAGAAGGGTGAAGTTCAAAGACTTGGACATGGAAGTGACAGAATTGGGATACTGGTCCTAAGCCCAGTACTATTTTCACTGCACCTTGATCAGAGTTCATTAGTAGTTTAGCAAATATTCATTCAGCACATACTAAATGTAAAGCACTTACACTAGTCAAGACAAAACACTGAAGCAGTGCCTGTCTTCCAGGAATTTACATTCTACTGGAAGAGATAAGAGAGATGATGCAGATTACTAAACCCTAACTCTATAAACAATATTAATGTTTATACAGTGCTTTTAGGAATTGCAAAGTGCTTTACACATATTATCTCAATAAGTATGTAAGTGTCATTTGCAATTTAAGAAGTTTGGGCAAATAAGTATTAAAGGGCTGTTCTGGCAATCTCCAAGCTCAAAGGAAAATAATTATATTCTAATCAGTTCTCTCTTCATAACCCTTAATTAATTGCCCACTTGAATCTGAAAACTCCAAAAGAGATTCCAGTAGATTATTTCTAAAGGCAAAATTGGGCAGCACTGTGATTTTCAAAATTCCTTCCATCTAGGCCATGATATCAGTCTTTGTGTTTGCATATTTGTTGGTATTTGCTCCATTACTTATCACACCAAGACTATTGAACATAACCAGAAAATGTACAAAAGATACTTTTCTGTGTTCTTTCTAGAAACTCCATTTGGACATTCACAAGTTGCCAAATTTCATCTGAAGTTTCAATTTTTAGTTCTGTTATTGTGGAGTAAATTAGTCATGCCCAACTCCGCGTGACCCCATTTGGGGTTTTCTTGGCAAAGACACTGGAGTGGTTTGCCATTTCCCTCTCCAGCTGATTTTACAAATGAGGAATCTAAGGCAAACAGAGCTAAGTGACTTGCTCAGGGTCACATAGTTAATAAGTGTTCCAGGCTAGATTTGAACTGGGGTACCCCTGACTCCAGGAGTCAGACAATTTATTGATTGACTTTCTGTAATAGGAACTGGGATGCAAAAGTGAGGCCAGAGGGAAGATATAAGATCAGCAACGAATTCAGCCCAGAAGACAAAAATGATATATTCCAAGGAGGTAACCTATCAGGCAATAGAGTAAGGAATTTTATTAGGACCCTTGAGGAGCTATAGAGAAAGTAGAAAATTGGCCAGGACCAGAGATAAGATAAATATATGCAACAATGCACATACTGTAGTCAACCCAGTATGTGAACATCCAGATTTTCAGTACAATGAAGCATAGGAAGAAACCTAATAATCCTTGCTTTTCGTTGACATTGTGAGTCATGAGGACTATGAATGTCAGGGGAGAAAGAAATTCCTAGGATCATAGATTTAGAGCTAAAAAGAATCTCAGAGAATCACTTAACATTTTTATACCCATTTTACAGATGGACAGAGAGGTTTCATTATTTGCCCAATGTCACACAGGCAATCAGTGAAGATCTGAAATTATAACCCATGTCTTTTAACTCTCAATCGTATATTCTATTCCATGCTGCCTCCCTATAGCATAGCACAACACCAATTATATGTTGCTTTGCAAATTTTTTGCATTTTCTAACTTTCTTTTTTCAAAAAAATTGATATCTTGTTCTTAAATCAGCAAAATTTTCCCCAGTATCCCTCTTCCAGAGAACCATCCCACACAACAAATAATATTTATTAAGGAAAAAAAGGAAGAGAAACTGATCAAATACATTTCAAAGTCTGAAAACATGGGATGCCACTAACTTTTCACATGCGTATGGGTCTTATTTCTCAAACTACAGTGTGAGATCCTTGAGGACACAATTACTTTTATATCTATTTCTTCAGAATCCCCTTATATCTAGTACTATGCAGTACATGCAGGGGTCCATCAGTGTTTTACATCTACATATGCATACACCTTCAAAAGAGGTGAAACCTACTAATAAATCACAGGACTCATAACTAAAAGAGAAGCAGCCACACTAGGTGCTGCTAGAGATGAATGGCTCTAATTGGAATTATTTAACCCTGGCTCTTTGGACCCCACCCACTCTGATTTCTTCCCAGTGACTGAATTTCTCCGGCATCTCAATCCACTTTGTTGGTATCACTCTTGCTCATCCTGGTTCCACATTCCATATTATTTGGTTTTCCCACATGCCACCATATTTTCCACTTCTGGACTTTGCCTTACAGCTTTCTCTGTGGAAAACTCTTCCAGACGGCCACCATCTCTTCTGCCCAGAGGACCCAGAGTTGGTGGTCATCTCATCCTGGCGGCCATAAAAATGGGCACTCAATACATTTGTTGAGTGAATGGTCATAGGCACAAGTAACATAACAAACCATGTGAGGTAAAGGCTGAGGACACAAGGGAAATGTAGAGATGGAATTAACTGCCCCCTTACCAGTCCCTTGCAGGCACTAAGGGCTGCAGTGCCATCTCCAACTCCTGATAGCAGCACTGTACCATGGAAGTGGCAGGAAGAGCCTGAATGGGATTCCATTTGGGCACCTGTGAGGTTTCCATATCGTCTCTCCAGGATGTAGTTACTGAAAAGAAATCCTTGATTGACTGTCAAATTAAAAAACAGCTCCTTGTCCTCATGAGCAATTTTGTAATACACTTGGTCATCTTGGTGCTCCAGATCTCTTTTCCTCCTAGCATTACCCACACTGGGGGCATGATGGTGCAAAGCATGCGATAAAAAATGTCCAGTCGCATTTACCTTGATAGGAACCACCACATGATACTCTGGCAAAGTCTTGATAAAGTGTTCTGGAAGAAAAAGGAAGAACACAAAATAAAATTGGTTGGAATTGGTAGAGATGGAAATTAATTCTGATTCGATAAATGGGATAGGAACTGGACCCATGATTTCATCGGTATAGGCAACTCCTCTATTAATTGCAACTCCCAGTCTCAGGGAGTTGCTTGGGGGCATCGAGTGGTTAAGTGACTTCCCAGGGTAACACAGACTATATGTGTGAAAGGAGAATTTGAACCAGATCTTCCTGGTTTCAAGGCTGTCTTGCTATCCATTGTGTCATTTTCATGGTATGGAAAACTAATGAGTGAATTAACAGAAAAATATTTATTAAGCATTTATTAGGAGCAAAGCTCTGTGCTAAGCACAAGAGATACAACCAGAAAAGCAAGGCAGTCTCTTCTTTCCAGGAGCTCATATTGTAATGAGGGAGACAACAATATCAGAGTTTCTATCTACAAGTCAGATGGAATGCCCCCATGGTCCTTAGGGTGCAGATGGTAATGCCTCTTCTTTAACGTCATTTCCTGGATGATCCACACCCATCCCTGCTATTGAACCATTTGACAATGCCAAAGACTTTGGTGATGAGAACTTCTTTGCTAAGTCTTGAGTAGCTGTAGTTACTTCCATATGAGAGTTTGAGTCTTACACCTCCCCTACTCTGTATTTGTGACTTGAAAATTAAAGTCCTTCCCAGACCTATTGGCTGTTTTTGCCATGTAAGCACTACCAACTTCTATCATCTTCCAAGTCAAAAGAAACTGGCTTTCAGTCCCGAGTGAGAATGCAGGATCTTGACACCAGCAATCAGGGGGCAGAGCTAACATGCTCTAAAAGGGAAAATTAACAAGCAATGCTAGAGGGAAAGGATCAAGATCTGCCATTCCTCGGGCAAACATCCTCAGGAACAGAACAGTTTCTTATCTGGAGGGCTTCATTAAGAAAAACCACAAGGCCATTTGAGCGTCTCCCCTTAAGACAGACTTGGCCAGAGTACAAGAGTACCGTGCCATACTCCCTGGAAGGTATGAAGCAATAACTGTGTATACCAAAGGAAGAAGTCCAAGATTTTTCAAATCATGCCCTTCTTTCTTCCCTTGTTAGTACCCCAGGAGACCCTCTTTATCCCTGGATTGGCCTATTTCAATAGCCTTTTGGCAGTTTCCAGCCTCTTTCCCTTACTCCATCTTCCAGGTATGGATATTCTAGCCCAGATGTGATCATGTCACGCTTTAGTGCAAATATTTTTGCCTGCTATGTGAAGTTCTAACTCACTTACCTGACATTCTGCAGACAAGAACTCCATCCAAACATGACTGCTTTCTTTCCCCCTAACACATTCTGGGCTCTCTAGCCTCAGTGCCTTTGCACACAATAACCCTTGTGACGAGACTGTCCTCCCCTCCTCTCTCTTTACCCATTGCACTTAACACATAACTCAAATGCCACCTCCTCCAAACCTTTTCCCCCAATCCCAGCCCTTTTGAACCTTTCCAATGCTCTCATCATTGTAATATTGAAAGCTGTAGTTATTTCTCTTGTGTCAAATATATTCCCCTACTAAGCTATAAACTTCCTCATTCTTCTTTACTTTTTATCAGGAGATATATAAGGGCAAATGGACTACTGGACCTAAAGTAAAGAAGACAGATTCCAAACCCACCTCTGACATTGATTACCTTTGCGACTATGGGCAAATCGCTTCATCTCTCTAAGACCGGTTTCTGCATCTTTAAAGGGGATAATAATACCTGCAGTACCTACCTCACTTATTGTTAAGAACTGCTATGAGGTTCTCTAAACTTGTCTTAAAGTTGCCATATTTTCCAGAAACACTGGATCCAGAGAATGCAGGAGGCCTTGAATGTGTCAAGGATAAAGCCCCACCCTAGCCCCAGCTGACATAATTTGTTGTTTGCATTTCAAGCTGGACTCCCCTATGCATTCTTAGGAGTCAAGATAAGTGCCAGTCAATCTGCACTAGGCTGAGAAACTGCTTGTGCAGCTGGGACCCTTGTAGATAAGTAGACCCTCTATCTTCATAGTTGAGCAGTTCACAAGGGAAACAAATTCAGCTTTTGTCTTTGCCTTGCCCCCCCCCTTCAGGAGGGGTTTCATTCTTTTTCCAACTTTACTGCACCTTTCACCCTCCCACACCATGCTCCTTTATGTAGAAATTTCCGGTACTTCTTCCTTCCTTTGTCCTACTATGATAAAAATGCAAACTTCTGTATGGATTGTGAACTCTTTGGGTTCACACGCATGTTCGTTTCTCTTAGTAATAAACTTAGTTATTGCATAAGTTTCGTGAAGTTGTGTTTGTTGACATTGTTATAGTTCAAATGAAATAACATAAGTAAAATGCTTTGTAGGCTTTAAAGTGCATTATAAATGTAAGGTATTGTTAGTATTCCTATTTCTTGAAGTCCTTTAGGTATCCATCCATGTGCTGGCTATGCTATATGGAAGAGAGAAAGATGGTAAGATCTGTCCGCTCAGTCTAACTAGGACAACAAGACATATACCCATAGTTAGTACTTAAGATGATGAAGAATATTTAAAATAGATAGCATAGGGTTGAATTAAAATCAGTGATTCACTCAAAAAATACTAGGTATATACTGAATGTACAACATGATGTTAGGCATGGGGAAGATGAAAAGTTTAAGACCTGATACCTAGCCTGTATATAATAATAATAATAATAACAATAACAATAATAATATAATATATATAATGTATATGTGTATATATATGTGTGTGTGTGTGTGTATATATACATATACATATAAAATTTACAGTCTAGTGGGGAAGGGGGAGGAGGAAGGGGAGGGGAGTTGACATAAGCACAAGCTAACTATAATACAGAATTTCTGGTAATTTTATATGGTGTTTTTGTGTATTAGAGAAATGCAGAGTGCTAAGTGAGGTGAGAGGTAGATGCCATTGCAGACCAGGGGAAGCTAAAGAGGCTTCCTGGAAACACCAAGAGTCAATGCTACAGAACCTCGGAAAAAGGAGAAATCAGTGTGGGCTGGAGTGGTTTCCTGTACAGGTGAGATGCAAGGGGCTCTTAAGTAACACGATGGAAGTCATTTTCAATTGAACTATAGCAAAAACCTCATTCAACTGAGGGAAGCATAAAGAAGAAGTGAACAGAAACGTGGTAATCGGTAGAAAGTTTGCCGATCATTTGGATAAAACCACAGAGACCAAGCAGTCTCTTCCCAGATCTGGTTGGGCTCCTGCATCTGAACACTCTCCTGGCTCTTATCACAAACACATTGCCCTAGACAAGAGGTATCAAACAGCCAACATGAGGTCGCAACACTCTTAAATACTGATCGTACTAAATTAAAGTGTAATTGGGAAATATTTAATAAAATGAAGAGAAATACAATTAAACATAGATAACACTAAATTTTAAAACTGAGTCAATATGCTGAGGCCCACAGGGATCCTTATGTGTGGCCACTGTGGAAAGAACACTAGGATTGGAGTCAGGAAGTAGTTGTTATTCAGTGGCTTTTCAGTCGTGTCCGACTCTTTGTGACTCCATTTGGGGTTTTCTTGGCAAAGATACTGGAGTGATTTGCCATTTCCTTCTCCAGCTCATTTGACAGATTAGGAAACTGATACAAACAGAGTTAACTGACTTGCCCAGAGTCATATGGCTAGTAAATGTCTCGGGGTAGATTTGAACTCAGGTCTTCCTAAATCCAGGACTGGCACTCTATCTATCTGCTGTGACATCTAACTGCCCAGAGTCAGGAAGACCTCATGTGACCAAATGTGACCTCAGACACTTACAAGCTGTATGACCCTCAACAAGTCACTTAATCTGCTTCAGTTTCCTCATCTGCAAAAATGGGGATAATAATAGCACCTACCTCCCAGGATTGTTGTGAGGATCAAATGAGACAAGCATTGTAAAAGCACTTAGCCCAGTGTCTGGCACATAGGAAGCACTATAGAAATGTTAGCTGTTACTATTATAATTATTCTGTCTTTCTATTTGACTTTGTCCGAGAGCACCATATTGAACAAAATAGAGTAAGAGAGAAGAAAAGAATTCTGGTTTTAAGTCAGAAGACTGTGGCCTGAGAACCAGCTCTAGCCCCCACAGGATCCTGCTCCAAAAAGCAGCACAGGGGAAACACTAGAGGATTTGGAGTCATGTGATCAGCATCCAAATCCTGACTTTACTATCTATTTCCAAGTTTGGGCAAATCACTTAAAAATTCAGTTGCCTTTTCTATAATAACAATAATAATAACAACAACTTCTAGTTATTTACATGGTGATTGAAGGTTTGCAAACCCTTTGCATATACTATCACATTGGAGCCTTACAAACTTGTAGTTAGTAACAGTATTATTATTCCCATTTCAGAAGTGAGGAAATGGAGACCTGGGGAAGCTAAGTGAACTTACTCATGGTCACAGAGCAAGTAAGTCTAAGAGGCAGAATTCAAACCTAAGGCTTTCTGAGTCTAAGTATATCCCTCTACCTACCATGGCATATAATACCTGTTTAGCTCAAAGCAGAAGAATCTGATGAAATAGCGCTTTACCACTACTGCCTCTATTTGTAAAAATAAAAGAACAAAAAGTTGGACTAAGCTGTTTTCAGGTTCCTTCCAGTACTAAATCCTACCTTTGTAACTCGTATCACTGCCCTAAACCCTCCCTATCTGGCATCTAGCACTCGGATATGCAGATAGGCATTTAATAATTGTTTGTTAAAGTGACCTAAAATTTAGATTGTGTACAGATTGTCAATGTCATAGAATGCTAGGTTAAAGAGCCTGTACTTGATCCCACGTGGGGAACCCATGAAGGCATTACACCAAGGAAATGATGTGATGAAAATTTCCTCTATCTCCCTCTATTTGATAGCAGAGCTGTCAAAGCAGTTCATAGTTATTTCCCCAAATTAAATTCTCTCAGATTAGCCATGAGGAAGGTAGGAAGACCCATTAGCATTTATGGAACTTTCATCTGCTGAT